GATGGATGGATGGATGGATGGATGGATGGATGGATGGATGGATGGATTGATGGATGGATGGATAGAAGGATGGAAAGATAGATAGATATGTACATACATACATACAGCTCACATTGATTAAAGCTTACTTTGTGCCAAGCACTATGCTAAGCACTGGGAATACAAATGGAAGGGCAGAAAAAGACACAGTCCGAATCCTTAGGGAGCTCATATTCTAATGGGGGAAGACAACATGTAAAAAGGAGCTAGAAAAGTCAGAAAAGCTGGGAGAGAAATGAACATGGATGACCTTGGTTCTTTATGAAACAGTGGGCTCTGTAGGAACTCACCAATAACTGGAAATGCCCCAAGGGCAGAGACATCTACAGGTAAGAAGACTATTGGCCCAGAGAGGGAAAAGGCTAGATAGCTCTAATTGTTAGTATTAAGTAAAGCCTTTTTTTTTTTTTTTGCAACTTATACCCATTGCTACATTCCCTCTGAAACAAAGTAGTTTAATCCTTCTCCCATGTGATAGCCTTTCAGATATTTGAAATCGATTTTCCTTTTTTCTCCCCTACTAAAATCTTCTCTGGGCTAAACATCCCTAGGTTTTTCAACCACTTCCTGTACAAAATGATGTTCTCCACTCTCCTGGTATACCTCTCTAGGTCATTAGTGTTCATCTGAAAATTTGACAAAGTACTTCCTCCGTGGTCTATCTGTGCTATTATTTCCCTAGCCCACGGTATTCCTCTTTTAACCTAGCCTGAGATTATGCAAGGTTTTATGGTTGCCATATCACATGGTTGACTCATTGATTAGGCTTCCAGTACACTCTTGTTTCCAGCTCCTTGTCATCCACAAATTTGTCAAACATACCATCTATACCTATATCTGAGTCATAGATAAAAATGTTAAATCGCACAGGGCTGAACAGAGAAGAACTCTTGGAAACCTTCCAAATCGACATGGAACTATTTATGATCACCCTTTGGATCTGGCCATTCAACCATTTCTGAATCCTTCTAATTATGCTCTTGTGCAGACCGCTTCACTCCACGGGAATAGCATGAGAGACTTTTGTCAAATGCTTTTCTGAAATCTAGATAAACTATATTTACAGTATTTCTTTGATCTCCCAGTTTAAAAACGCTCTCAAAAAAAGGAAATAAGCTTAGACTTATGTGACCTGTTCTTGATGAAGGTATTCTGGGATTGATTTCATCATTGCTTCTTTTCTTAAGATACTCATTAGCATTAATATGGTCTAGAATTTTGCCAAGAATAAATGTAAAACTCCCTCATTGAGTTTGCTGACTCTTTCATATTTTTGGAAATGGGGAAAATGTTTATCCATCTCCTATCCTGTGGCACCAGTTCCATTTGAAATCTTTTGAAAATCGCTGACAGTGGCTCAGCAATCATCCCTGAAGGACCTAGAATGCCATCTAGATGATGCTTCCTCTCCCATCTCTGCACCTTTGTACCAACTTCCCTCCATTTTTGTAATACACTCCCAATTTCTCATGTCTACCTCTAAGAATCTTTTTTTCCCCTACAAAACTCTACTCAAGTGATACCTTCTATACTTGGCTAGAACTTAGAGGGGGGGAAATTTACATATTTATTTTCACTAACCTTTAATTGAAATTTAGCATTTCCTTTCAATTGTGAATGTAGGTACCAAGCATGATTCTCAGAAGGGGTTCATAGCTTTCATCAGACTGTCAAAGGGGTCCAGGACACACAAAAGGTTAAGAACCCTTAATTTAATTCAATTTTTTACAGTTGAGGAAACTGAAACCCTGAAAAATGATATGAAGAATGTGGCTATGGGTCCAGAGCTGATAAGCAGCATGTGCTTCCACCCATAGTCTTCTGCTTCCAAACCTAGTATTCTTTCTACCACACTATACCACACCACCTCCCTTCTTTACAACAATAGTACAATATCAGTGTTCAGTAGTTTCTTAATTGCGATTTGATCATTTCCTATATTGAGAAAATTCCTAGAAAGTGAAATTAGTCAATAGGACAAAATGTGTACGAAGGAAGGGAGGGATAGACTGAACAGAATAACCAATGTTTCATGAAATGCCCAAAAATTTTCCTAAATTTGGTCTTAGGAAAGATGAAATAAAGTCAGCCCAGGGCCAACCAGCCTGACTCACACCAAATGTTAAGAAAAGTCAATTGCCCTAATAAGGGAGATTTCTAAGACACCCAGTTAGTCAATGAAGAAAAATCTAGTTCAGAAAAAAAAAAAAAAAAAAGGGGCACAGTTAGGAGACAATGTTTCCCAGTGTGTGTGTCCAGGAAGGGAGGAAGAAGGTGGATGACTGAGTGAAGGGAACAAAATAATTTTTTTTAAAGATTTTCTGCTTCACCTTTAAAACTGGAAAATAAATTTGCCTTTGGGAAATTTCATCACATGAAATATTCTACCTACCTCCTGATAGAGAGGTGTTAGACTCAAAAGTACAGATTAAGATATGTGAGTGTGTGTGAGTGTGTGATACGTCTAATGAGAGAATTTGATTTGCTTGACTATACATATTTGTAACAAGGCTTTTGTTTTTCTTGCTTTCTCAAAATGAGAGTGGGGAGAGTGGGAGGGAAATGGTGAATTAGTTAGTTGAACTTTCTGGGAGGAAATTAATTTAAAAAAAACCCAAATCTTTATAAGAAAAAAAATCTCGTTATAGAATGTGACAATAAGGTAGATTTGGGAGCCTGTTGGTTTATTCATTAGTTCTCTTCCCATTGCTTTAGTGACCTGTTTTTTAAATGATACTTAGACCTCATATAACTTAGTAAATGTTGAAATTGAATTATTCACCCTGATCCATATGAGTAGAGGTACAGATATTTGAAAACATTAGGTGATCCAGGAATGGTTTGGGCAACATGCCTTTGGATTGCAGGTTAGAGATTCATGAAGGCACACATACTAATGCCCAGTTACACCCATCCTCTAGGGTCTCATCCTGACACCCTTTCACATTTGCTCTTAGACTGGCTAATGGAGGAGAGGGCAATTCACTTGCAGATAACTGAATTGACCATGCATAGGAAATAGAAGTCAGCTTAAAATCCATTAATAGTAACTCATCAGAGAACTCATACAGTCGGAAGGGGAAGTTTCTGGGCATGTGTGTAGGAACATATCTACCTTGAGACTTCTATTTCCTCACAGCCTAGGCTGTACGTGACTGACTATACCTCGGCTGTGTTCCTAAATGAATTCTGACTCATCGAATTCTTTCCTACTACTGCTTTTTTCTGGCCAAGGCTGGGTGGGATGAGATGTGAAAGTGCACTGCTCACATTTCCTTTTGCTAGGTCCTCTCACGTACCAAATGTCGTATAGCACGTGGAGATGGGCTGGCCCTGAGACCAATCTTTAAGCTGGGTAAGGCTGGCCTTGAACGTCTCCGTGTTTTGTTCCCCCACCTCCCACTTCAGGAAGAAGGCGAGCTGATCATCGAAGGGCTTCTCAACATATCCTGGGGACTGAGGCGACCCATCCGGCTCCAGATGCAGGATGATAATGAGAGAATCCACCTCTCTTCAGCTCCGTGGAAGAAAGACCTGCCTACTATAAGCCAGTGAGTGGTCCAAGGGAGAGGGAGCACCCCTGAGGCCCCCCAGATGCTCCACGTGACATCTCCTTGCTAACCTAGACATTTGTCCAGCCTTCTGTATGGAGGCCAGAGTAGGTATGGGGAAAGAACCCAGAGGGGTCAAAGGAAATTAACAGAGTATATTGGGAACACTCAAAAAAGGCATAGTTTGGCTGAGGTCATGGAAAGACCCATACTCATTTTAATTCAGCAAGCATGTATCAAGGGCTTCCAATGTACCTAGCACTGTGCTAGGTACTGGAGATTCAATAGCCCCCTGCCCTCAGGTAGCTCACAGTCACATCCATATGGTACTACTCAGTCTCCTTAAGTGACTTGTCCAGAGGCTACGTGGACCAGAGCAGGGACAAGATTCAAATCCAGGTCAACTCCAAATCCAGTGATAGAGCAGTTCTGCTTTACCATTCTGCCCCTTCTTGACACTTGGCCGGAAGTCTCTTCCCTTCTTTAAGCCTCAGTTTTCCATCTATAAAATGGGAATAATAATACTTACACCACCTGCCTCACAGGATAACAGTAACAACTAGCATTGATTAAGCACATGGTATATGCCAGGTATTGTAGAAGAAAGGAGGGCGAATAAAAAGAAAGAAAAGAAATAGTACCTACCTTCAAGGAGCTCACATCCTATAGGAGGAGACAACATTCACACATAGAAGTTTGTACAAAATAAAGACCAGATAATTTACAGTGTTGTGGGGTTGAAGGGGTGGGGGTGGGAGGGCACCAGCAACTGAAACTTTTAGTCTTACTTTTTCTTAACCATTTTTATGCCGTGTATCCCTTTAGTAGTCTGTCTAAACCTTCACACTCCTTCTCAAAAATAATGTTTTTAAATGCTTAGGAGTAAAAAGAAAATCAATTATATTAAAATACAGTTTTCAAATAAAAAAATAAGTTCCCAGGTGCCCAGGTTAAGAATTCCTGGGCTAGAAGGCTGAGAAAAGGCCTCGTATAGGGGGTGGCACCTGATCAGAGCCAGGAAAGCAGCTAGGGGTGTGGAGGTGATGATGAGAACAGAGGGACTTTCTACCCATGTGGGGCTGACAGGGCGGAGGTCCAGTTATCTGAGATAGAACATTGTAGGTTAGGAACAGTAAGAAAGCCTCCTTGTCTAGAATACAGAGTACCTTCAATTGCTTTGTAAACAAAGCACTGTAGAAAGGTGAGCCATTATTGCATATCATTAGGTGAATGTTCTTCCTCCTGGAGCTGAGACATGGCCTCAAAGTCATTGGGCTTCCCTGATTTGGGGCAGCCACAGCCTTCTTTCTGAAGGTGCCTTTTCCTCAACCTACCAGTGTCCTTGCTGCCAAGTTGAGGAATTTGTCATCGAAATTTCAAAAACCTATGAGTCTGATCTTTAAATAAATGGTGCCCGGTCTAAGATTCCTCTGTTTTTCCAAAATCAAAGTAATAATAGCTAACATTAATATAGTGCCTATTATATACTAAGTATTTTACAAATAGGATCTCATTTGATCCTCAAAACAATTCTGGGAGGTGGGTGATATTACTATCTCTGTTTTACAGATGAGTACACTGAGGCAAATATAAGTTATGTGACTGGCCCAGGATCACATAGCTAGGGAATGTCTGAAGCTGGATTTAAACTCAGGTCTTCCTGACCCCAGGCCCAGCGCTCTATCCATTGTGCCACCTTGCTGTCCCATAAGGGTGAAGGAGTGTGAAAAGCAGAGAATCTTTGGAATTATTTGCCAAGCTGCTATATTAATTAACCTGACTTAACTTTCTTTTCTTTTCTTTTCTTTTTTTCCATTTTTGTTCATCTAAAATAGGTCATTTGAATCCTAAATTGTGGGTACTGTCATTCTCTTTTCTCCCCATTTCCTTTTAAAAAGAGAGAGGGTAGGGGCAGCTAGGTGGTGCGGTGGATAGAGCATCGTCCCTGAAGTATGGAGGACCTGAGTTCAAATCCGGCCTCAGACCAAACACTTGGCACTTACTAGCTGTGTGACCCTGGGCAAGTCACTTAACCCCAACTGCCTAAGCAAAAATGTAAAATAAAATAAAAAGAGAGAGGGGGAAAGGGAAGGAAGGAAAGAAGGAAGATGGATGTAATTTCTGTCCATCCTATATGGGCCTCTTGTCTTTCCTTTTTTCCTGGTGTGAAATGCCAGCATTTGGCTTTTTCCTCCTCTCACCTCCTTTGTCCCTAAGATGAGAAGATATCTAGCTCAGTCCGTTTGAAAATGAGAGGCCCATTTCTAGCAACAGAAAGCATCAACATGGTGACTGTCTTTTCAGAAAGGGACTTCCCCAGGGTGCCAGAGAGACCATTGAACAGTCAAGTCCTCATGCTGTGGTGAACTCAGAAAGCTCTGGCGCTGACTCAAGTAAGTGGGGCTCCTCCTTTGTGTACAATCTAATCCAGGAAAGGACAGAGATGAAAATACCATGTAGAATTGCCCTACAGATTACAGAGAAAAGTATGACTTCACTTTAATCAATCAATAAGCATTTTTTAAGTACTCACTGGGCACTATCTGAGGCACTGTGATAACAAAATGAAAACAAAACAGTCCTTGCCCTCAAGGGGCTTACATTCTATTGTTGGAAATAGCATATAGGTATATGAGTAGATACACAAACTAGACATGAGGTCATTGGGGGAGGCAACACTAGCAAGTGGGCTCAGGAAAGGCCTCACGTAGGAGGTAGTTTTTAAGCTAAACTTTGAAGGAAATTAAGGATTCTAAAAGATGGAGGTGGGAGGGAAGTGTGTTCCAGGTATAGAGGATGCATGAAGATTGGAGTTGGATATTACGAGGGAGAGCAAGGAGATTGATTTGACTGGGCCATAGAATACATAAAGGAGAATAATCAGTCGATAAGTACTTAGTATATGCTTACTCTGTGCCAGGCAGGCACCGTGCCAAGCTCTGGGGATACAAATGAAAGCAAAAACAATGCTTACTCTCAAGCAGCTTCACATTCTAATGGGGGAGACAACATGTATATAAATAGGTCCATCCAAGATACATCTGGAGTAGCTGGGAGATAAGGTGTAACAAGTCTGGGAAGGGCAGTTGGAGCCAGATTATGAACGGCTTTAAATGCCAAGCAGAAGAATTTGAAGGTCTGAACTAAGTCACCAGTCTAGATGATGCATGTCTTAGTCTAATGAAGCCACTTGGAATCTCATTTTCTCTTCTTTGACCTACAAGATCTCCCCAAATAGTGTTTTCTGTTCGATTTGTATCCCCTTGCACAGCACCCACTGAAGGTCACCCAGTAAATAGAGATAATTTTCTAACTAAGCAGAAATCTGTCAATCTCCAGTGGATATGGGACTCTGAAACTGATTAGTGCAATATTGTATAAATTACTTCTTTTCTTAACCTCTATATCTTGATCTACCTACTTGAACATAGAAGTAACACAACTAGTGCCCTAGCCTCTTGCACAAAAATTTTATTAAATTTAATTTTATTAATAAATATTTGTTAATAAAATAGTTTATTAATAAATATTCGACTATATTTTAATTATATTAAAATATTTTATTAATAAATATTTGACTATATTTTAATTATATTAATAAAATATTTTATTAATAAAAACCAGGGAAGTACTTCATGAGTACAATTATATTATCATCCTATTAATTGCATTGTCATCCATTATTCCATCAATACCTTAACATTTTTGTTCATCTCCATTACCAGCAGATTCTATAAATGGTGAAGAGGAGACACCACAGCTCATGCGAACAAAAAGTGATGCAAGTTGCATGATTCAGCGGAGATCAAAATGTCGTACACCGGGAGAAGCTCAGAAGATAAAGCGGCATAGATTCTCAATCAATGGGCATTTCTATAACCACAAGGTAATCTCTCAGAGCCATCACTTCTTGTAGTACATTTAGCCCATTTACATTGCAAATTACCCTCTGAACCCAAGAAAAGATGGTCGGATCACTGTATAATTTGTATTCAAACGTATGAGAGTCAGTTATTTAAAAAAGGAGTATAGTTTTTTATGCTGTGTGTAGAATCTTAGGATTGGAAGGGATGTTCAGTCAAATTCCTGCCAGGTCTATGAGCCTTTTCTACAGCAACTCTAACAAGTGGTTAATCAGACTCTACTCCTGAAGTTCCTCTCATATGGGCAATCAATACCTTATGAGATACTGTATTTTTAGAAAATTCTTCTTCATACTGAACCAAAATCAACCTCCCTGCAAATTTGATACATTGGTCCTAAGTCTTCCCTTTTTAGCTGTTAAAAATACATCTAATCCCTCTTCTGCCTGGGGATACTCTTATATTTCAATAAGCTCATGAGCTCACTGGTGTGAGTATTCCTTCCATTAATGCATGTGGACACAACTGTGCATTCTTCTTCATGTTGTCCCAAAAATCTTCTTTACAGACTTTCCTTCCCTGACCTCCCACCCCTTGCTCCCAATGTACTAAAGGCCTTCCTCACTATCTTGATCACCCTTCCTATAGACCTGTTCCAGCTTCCTCTCATAAAATATGTTGTCCAGAACTGAACACAAAACTCTGGCCATGACAGAGCACAGTGGGTCTAGCAGCCCCTTTGTTGTAGCTGTCATGCTTTTGTTGATGCAACTAAAGATGTGACTTGGTTATTTTGGCCAAGTCACACTTATCTCAGTTGTGTACTGTACTAAAAATCCCAACAAAACTATATCTTTCCTTTTGTGCTTGTGCAGTTGATTTTTCTAACCCACTTGAACAATTATTCCTATGTCATTTCATCTTCCTATTGTGATCTTTTGAAGTCTAATTCCATCATCCACTGTGTCAGCTGTTTGGCCCTCCCAGTTTTATGTAATCTTCAAAGTTGTCAAGTATACTTTTTATGACTCCATCTAAGTCATTAGTACAAATTTGAAATGGAGGTGGCCTATGACAGATTCATACCATAGTGCTCTACATACCTCTATCAAGGACGACAAATTACCCTTCTCAGGATGGGTGGTCACTTGTTGGCGATATTGTAGAAAAGGGACTCTTGTTTAGGTACAGGTTGGACTACTTGGCCCCTAAGGAACAGATCTGAAATCCTATGATCCATTAGCAAAATTCACTGTACTTTGTCATTCAACCAGATCCAAATCCACCTAACTGCACTTTTGTCCAGCCCAGACCATTTCATTTTGTTGACAAAATTACCGTGACTTTGTCAGATGTTTTTCTTGAATCTAGATTTACCTCAACAGCATTTCTCAAATCTGTTAGTGTACTAACCTTGTCAAAAGAGGAAATTTAGTTTGTCTACCATAGTTTCCACATAATGATCTCACACTGGCTCTAATGAGGGAGAGGTAGTATAATGTGAAATGACGACATTAGTGGAGTGATTTAAAGCATGTGGGCTTAAATCCAACTCTTCTTAGGCAAGTCATTTAACTTCTTTATAACCTCAGTTTCCTTTCCTGAGTGTGTTAGACTTTCATGATATCCAAAGTCCTTTCTAAATTTAGATCCTATGACCTAGAACGGATTTGTTCTGTGTGAAGTTTGGATTCAGTCAAAGGGCCACACTTGAGGCCTTGAGGCCATAGGTTCTCAACTCCTATATATCCTCCCATTGCCATGGTCCTCCTTGAGGACTATGATAACCAGATGGAACAATTAATCATGTAAACATTTTGTGCAAAATGTGTAGCACACCAAGGGAGAGAGTAATGTGTGCTCCAACCCCACACTGGTGACCTCTCATCCTTCCCTTCCCCATCCCCTTTCTTTGGGTTAACTCCATTTAGACTCAGTTTTCTCAAAGGGTCAAATTCCTTTCTAATTGATGTCATTTCCAGCTAATTAGCCCATATTGTTTATCTGTTTGAGCCTTAAGATTAAGCTTTTTTCCTCACTCTTGGACAATCAGGAAATAGCTCCTACTTATCAGTTCTTTGTTCTTATGCTTTACTTTGAAGACCCTGACCCACCCCACCTACCCTATACTAATTGAGGATTGAAACATTCATCTTTTCCTAATACTGTCTGCCAAAATGGTCTTCCTTCTAATCCCAACACTTGTCCTTAAGAGTTTTTCATAAGCTTTAAGTTATCCTTATGGCTAGGGCCTTTCTGGAACCTTTATGGTTCATTCTAATTTGTCCCTGATTCCATCTTGGTTTCCTGTCCTCAATTCGGGGGGCTTCTTATGTAGGCACATTGGACTCTTTTAAAACTTTACCTTTTCTTCCTCATTAGATGAATTCTCAACTCTGTCCTGATAATTTAATTCCTGAGATCCTCTTAAGCCCGCCCTCCCCACCCCATTACAATCTCATACCTATCTTATTTCTGGATTCTCTTGAAGCTCCCTTTACTAAAATCTAAACTATATTCATTGAATCTCTTTAGTCACAATTAATTCTGGAGTAATATTATCACATTCTTCCAGGTTTCTTTTTATTTCAACTGAATAATTCTCATCAGTCAGTGGTCCTAGTTATCCCATCTGCTTTCTGAAAGATGAAATTGTCATCAAGTTAGGATTTTTTCACATGTTCTCCTTTTAAAGGAAAGATATGTCCAGTAGATGTCACATAGGTGAGATTTTTTTATTTTGGTACAGTTTGGTGATTTGAATCACCAAATTCCTCCACTTCCTGCACCTGGCCCAGTTGCATATTCACCTGACAAGATCATTTCAATCTCTTCTACCTTCTACCTCATTCAGATACTCTCCACTGGGTTTTCCTTCTTATGTCTGCAGGTTTCTATATAGCCTTATATGTTCTCAGCACCAAGAGATAACTTGCCATTACCTCCCTGCCCCAATTCCCACTGCTTCTTTTGAATAATGAATACACTCTCATTTCTGTATTCTTTAATAAACACTATCCTACCAAATCTATGCTGCCTGTGTGGTGATATTTGCTGGCTTGTGTATTAAAATCTTACACTCAGTTTGTTGATTACATATTCTCTGCATGTTGGCATATAGATGTCTGAGGCTGTAAGTCTATGAACCTCTCTTCCCTGTTAGTTTTCCCCATGAATTAATGTCTACTTCCCCCTGGCTATTTTTCTTTCTGGGTCATCCCTGTCACTCTTTGTAATGTCTTTTTCAGGAGCTCATTTGACGGGGAATATTTTTCCTTTCACCACCATTTTCTGTTTGTCCTTATTGATCAGATGAACAATTTCCTCTCAGTCCTTGTTAATTTTAGTCCATACAAAGAGTTAGTAATAATAATAATAACTAATAGCTAGCATTTATATAATACTTTAAGGATTTAAAAATACTTTACAAATATTATCATATTTGATCCTCACAACAACCCTAGGAGGTAAGTGATTATTATCCCCATTTTACAGATGAAGAAACTGAGGCAAGCAGAAGATAAGTGATTTACCCACAGCTAATAAGTATCAGGCTAAATTTGAACTGAGGTCTTCTTGATTCCAGGTCGAGCATGCTGTCCACTGTGCCACCTAGGCAGCATAGAGGAAGTTTGGCATAGAAAAAGGAATGTTAGGCCTAAAAAGAGAAAAGGGCTCAAATCTAGCCTCTGAAACTTACTACCTGCCTAACCATGGGCGCATTCTATAACCTGAGCCTCAGATTCGTTATCTGTAAAATGAGGCTGATAATTCCTATAGTACCCATTCAGCATTCTTGTGAAGCTCAAGTGAGGTACAATATATATACATAAGGTGCTTTAAATTAATTAAAGAGCTATATTAATATAAGCTGTCACCTCTGATTGCATGGTTATGCCTGTTGGAAGCCACATGCCACTCATCTGCACTGTCTTAGCCAGCTGTTCACTTGCTGTATCGTTATTTCTCTTCTACATTCCCAATCTCTAATTGGAAAGTATGAGAAGAAGGTGTGTCCCCCAGGTTTTTCACTTTTCTGTTAAGGACTTAATATTTCCCAGAACTAATTTCCAGGTATTCTCTTATCGGCTCATTTGTCCCTACACAAATCAACAGAAGTCAATAGTGATCAACAGACATAAATCCCTTTATGCTCACATTTATACTCTACACATATCAAGAGAACAGCACACCTCCAGCTGACAAAGTCATGTTTAGAGAGGGCCACATCCCTCAGCAGTAATAGTCATGGCCAACATGATATGTCTTCTTCTAGGGTCTAACAATAGATCTCCTTCCAGAAAGTACCTATGGATCCTTACCATGAATCCATGGAATATTGGGTAGTATTTCTTTGTCCCAGCATCTGGAGCCATCCGCTAGGTTATGAGATACATGCTTTTAATGTAGCTCTAGAGGATGCATTCTCTTCCTTCTTGGTTTTATATTCTTATGCCCACCAACCTGTTGATATTGGTTTTAATTCCCTATTACCTTCTCCAAACAATTTTTTTCTTCTCAGTTTTTCTTTCTTTGTTTTTCTTTTTCTTTTTCTTTTTTTTTTTGGTTCCTTTCTTTCATTCTGTCTGATAATTCTTCATAACTCTCCACTTAATTCACCACAGTTAGGAGAAGTGTCCCTCCCATCCATGAGCCTTCCCTTTTAGTAGGTCGTTCGATTTGCACTTCATACAGTGTTTGCTCTTGCTTCCAAGCAGGATCACCAGCAAAACCTTCCTTTAAGTCACTGGAACAGGCCCTTAATGTTCCTTAACCTGGATTTCTTCAAGTTTCAGGTACTTGGAGTCCCAAGCCCTGAGTATTTTATTACTCCCCTCTCCCATATCTGTGATGAACAGTAAATTGATTTATAATTGAAGTGATTATTTTATATAAGGTTGTTCTAGGAACCAAGATGATTATTTGTTTGAATACCGTATCCTAGTCATTCATAATTCCCCATTCTGTAAATTAAATAGATTAGCTTGAGACATGTTGCATTGACTTCAGCAGATTGAATCAT